GCTTGTTGAGGTTTGTTTTTTCCCGCAAGATATTTTGCACAGAACTGAAGCGAAATTAAGTGAGCAAAACACAGACATTTCTCACAATGGCAACAGCTTATGAAAAAAACCTCTGCCGATTCTCATGCTCGGAGGTACCCATCAAGTTAATAGGAAATCAATATTGGAGTGCCGTTTTAAATGCCCCCAGATGTTCATCGAGATACCCGTTAACATACCAAGTGTATACAAAAAAAATTTCATGAGGAGCTTAAAATGGATGATATATGAGCGACAAAAGCCTCGAAGAGTCGCGACTCTGCACGACGAAATCAAGATTACGTGCCACATGAACATGAAGCACTTTTACTTTGCTTTGAAGAATAGAAAGAAGTACAAATCTAGGGGTATGCGAGGCGTTGCGCCAAATAAAATCAGAATCAGTTGTTTTCCGGGGAGAACAGCAGACATCATAGCACTGTCAGAAAATCTTTTTCTTAGGTCATGTATGTCAGAGGCATTACAGTACGTGCCTGCAGACGATTTAAAGTGCTTCAGACTCATACTCAAGATGCAAAATGGCACGCTTTCCAACAGATTCAAACATTTGAATCGTCAACCTCTCGCCTTCAATGCCGCAACTAACCACTACACCACTGTGCCGCCAACGTTAGAGCGTTCTCGAACTCAGGGAGCGCCCCAAAACAGGATATTTAGACTTTCATAACTCCCTTTAGAAGAGCGTTCCGCAGAAATGGAAGGCAGATTTCATATCAGCGTTCGAAGCTGCTTTAGGAAATTTGCATCTCATATCAAACGGCTACGGCCATTGAAAGTATTTCGCTCGTAAGCAGCTGCGGGACTGTCCAGAAGAATTCACGATATACGCTGGCGTGCGTCAGGGTTCCGTACTCTCACCGCTCTTGTTCATCACCGTGATGGATGCGATAGTCAAAGACCTCATACGACAACCACCGTGGGCACTCATGTATGCGGACGATGGGTACTACTAGCAAAAAGCAGGCAGAAGCTCTAGATGGATGTGCAGAAGTGGAAAGATAAGTTGGAGCTGCATGGATTGAAGCTGAATACGACAAAGACGGAATGTGGAGATAGGAGTTCAGACATCTGGACTATCCAGATCGAAGACACGCAAATCAAAAGACCATGATACCTGGGAAGTCGCATTTCCGCAAGTGGTAGCCTTCACGACGAGATAACCAGTAGAGTGAGTGCAGCTCGGATGTAGTGGAGAAGAATGACAGAATTCTTATGTGACAAACGCATACCGCGGGACCTCAAGCCGCTGATATGCTGCACAGTAATTCGACTAACGGCGCTGCATGGAAGAGAATGTTGGCCGTGTATCCGCATTGAGGAGAGGAAGGATGGCCTGATAAAGAAGCGGATGTTGAGATAGAACTTAGGAGTTACCATGCTTGACCATATCACAAACGACACAATACGAAACATGAAGAAGGTCACGTCAGTGGTACAGAAGATGCAAGAATGACGCGTCCGATTGAATGGACAAGTAAGCCGACAGCCGATAAAGACATGTAACTAATGTCAGTGAACGTACCAGGAAAGAAGCCAAGAAAAAGACCTAAGATGCGATGGCTAGATAGCAAAGCGGATATAAGAGAACTTGAGATAAATGAGCAGAAGCCTCAAGCCGAGAAGAGTGGTGAAAACTTACGAAGCAGCAGACGCTGCTTGACGGGAAAAATGCAAGGATGAAGAAAAGCAAAGGGGATATCGTTGTTACGGGGTGCGGGCGAAGTCCCGAAAAAAGCGGAGCCCCTGTCTACATGCAATTTAATCTTGCTATTCCGTACAAGTTTGTTAGGATGGTATATTTATTCAAATCGGCCTAACGTTTCGGCGCTTTCGCCGTCCTCAAAGGCCTAAAAAGAACCCAAAGCATTACCTCCAACATCAGACCATCAAATCTCTCCTCTAGCGTGGCTAGTTTCGATTTTTTAATTCAGTCCGCAGAAACTCTTCAGACAGAAATGAACCTACCGTACCACCGCTATATGATGTGTCCGCACGGGAAGGAATTGACAGAGTGACCGAAATGAGTGACAGAAGCGGGCAAGTGAGGAATACTGTAGAGAACAGACATAGGATATGCTATCTACTATCTACAGCTCACTAGTGCTACGAACGGCAGAAAGTCGGCTGTAATAGACAAGCACTCGTTTTTATTATTCATTTCTGGATTCTTCGAAGATATCCAGAAAGATTTTAGTGCTTTCCTAGCCGAGATCTCTTTCTCAAAGCTTAAGATTTTGCATTTGACTCCAAAATCTGCTCCATTATGTGCTTCGCCTTTAAGTCTTCCCAAGGTGTTGCTAAGCGCTTGCGTATCATGCTTGCCAGATGTTCCTTTAGACGTACACTTAGTACCCCCCCCCAGTTTCACCAATATACAGCGCGCCGCAGTCCGTGCATTCGAGTTAACATACCACACCCACTTTCTGTACACTCCCCTTCTTCGCCACATGGACACACTTTGCATTGTTCAGTAGCGCATTTCCCATAGTAGAGTCGATTTCGTATCAGCTGCTTTTCAATGTTATCGTTGGTACGTTAATCAAAATGACTTCGTTGAGCAGCTGTGCGCGAGCAATGCATTGACGAAAGGCCGCTGTGATCGTATCGGAGATGTTCTATCAGATATTAAAAGAGTCAATTTGAGAGATAGTTGCCGAAAACCAGAATTCTAAAGCAATTGCGCCATTTTAGCGTGTTCAATGACAGCTGGCAATTAGACTCATATAAATCTTGAACGTGAAATCGTGTGATGTTGCGACTTCATAGGTTTTGTAGAGTAAGGTTTGCCTTATTAGAATATATCTGAGCCGTACCGATCCATTGAAACAGCGCCGAGATCCAGGGTCTTGAAAAAGCAAGTAAAAAAGCGCTTTTTAAAATTCAACAGCCCATAACTTCTTCAGAATTGCACGAATCATGTTGCACTTCATAGGTTGGATTCTCCTCTTCAAGAGCTTTCAGATTATGTATAATATGTTGGGGGTTCGATGATTTTTGCGGCTCTAACCCGGGGTGAAGACTTTTCATACCAAGGTTTCCACCTGCCCATATATTAATGTGTTGGCTGGAGGCCGCCAGAGAAGACTTTGTGATGAAAAGTCTCCACCCCTGGGCATATGCCGTGAGAGGCGCGAACCCCCGCATATTAAACATCATCTGAAAGCTCTTGATGAGAAGAATTTAACCTATGAAGTCGCAACATGATTAATGCAATTCTGAAGAAGTTATGAGCCGTTAAATTTCAAAAAGCGATTTTTTACCTGTTTTTTAAGAGCCTGAATCTCGGCGGATCTCAATAGGTCGGTCCGGCTAAGATATATTCTGATAAGGCAAATCTTACTTTACAAAATCGATGAAGTCGCAAAATCACACACTTTCACATTCAAGATTTATAAGAGTTTAATTGTCAGCTGTCACTAAGTAACTTAAAATCGCTTAATTTTTCAAAATTCTCGTTCTCGGCTTTCACTATCTGGCAGAACAACACCTGCCCTTCAAAACCTATGAAATCGCATTTGCTGACTTTAACCACCAAATTTATAACAGTGGAAATTTTGCGTGATTTTACGTTATTTTATCATTCGAAATTCTGATTCTCGGCGGTTAGTGCTTAGATCGACCTACTACGTAGATATATGCCCTCAATACTTTCTTTTGCGCTCCTTTTGTTTATTTTCCTTCTTTTAATCAGCAAAAAAATCAGCAAATTTCAAACCCAAAAGTGAAGGTGGTCACCCTGGACAGCTCAAAAGTGAAGGTAGGCGGAGACTCGGCTCTGACTATCGCACCTCTGATTGCTGCCCATCGCTTGCTTTAGCGATGAGTTGTTACTCGCTTTCAAAGTTTTGTATTGAAAAAAAATGAACAGGGAAGGATACGTTGGAACGATAAATCAAAAAAAGTAAAGATTAATTCGAGCATAACGGCCTTCGAACGATGATCTTGAACCTGTTTACCGTAGCTACGGAATGACTTTCACTAAGCTAGAAACATAAAAACAGGATAAGGATTATAAAATTGTTATAAACTTAAGTGTCTTGTCCTGAATGTTAACTACAAACTCATTAGAGTAGGAGTGAGCAATGTGCATTGAGAATCAAGCTGAAAGCGCGCAGTCATAATGTTATTCAGTAAAAGTTTGGTCTCCTAATCAAAAGGAAATTGAGAAACAAATCACAAATTAGCATTATAATCACTGTACAGCGTTTGATTAATTTTATGCTACCCGCGGGATTATAAAATCAAAACTCTTCAAGCGCTTACAGCTTCTCGCAAGTGGTTCTGCAAAAAGGGAAGTAGATTCAATTAGTGTACAAACACGCGTCTGCTGATCTCCATCTTTTTTGATATTTTTCTCGTAAGCAAACGTTTTCTCTTAACCGCAAATTTACAGCATAATCGTCTACTAACACACCATTCGAAAACGCTTTTCGAACATTTTGTAAAAACTTCTACTAACGAACAAAGAATTACATACAGATGCTGCTTTCAAATGAAGGTCATGCTTCAATGAAACTTCTTCACGATTGATACGAGCGGTCTAATGAACTTTGACAGCAACTAAGGCGTAAAAATCGTTGTCTGTGCCATGATAGGGTGTGGATGTACGGGTACTGCTCATAGTTCGCAATTGCTTGGACGATTGTCTGCGCATTCTTACAGGCACTACACCATTCTTACACTAGACATGTTGATATAAACATTTTGGTCTGTTTGTTTTACTAAGTTTGGTTTAGATTCTCTTTTACTTAGCCCATCACGGCGAGGCTTATATCTGCCAAGTCATGCTCAAGAAAGTACGATAGACAAAACATTCCATTACATTTTGCCTTCAAAGGGATCTTTGGTAATATTAAAAGGAAAAAACGAAACTACTGCGATTGATTTCGCACAGATTCTATGCCCAAGAATTTCTTTACAATTGTCATGTTTTTCATGTGAAACTCTGCATTCTCACTTACTTTGCATGCTTCTTGTAGACGGTGAACATCAGGGTAGTATTTTGCCACTCCTGCTACAGGAAGCATAAGAGACATGTAAGTGAATGGGCGAGATTTGTTGAAATGATCGGTTGCCTGTCCACTCGTTAGTCCTAGTGCTTGGAAAGTCTCCCGCATTTGATTAACTGCTGAAAGGGCAAAACGGAAGTTTGTTAATGGTACAGATTGAGTGTATCTTCTGAGACGCTTACTTGACATAAACGCTTGCGCTGGTCTTGCGCACAAATGAAATAGTTTCTTCTGAGGTAGTTCAAAATAAGCCTTTCCTTTCCGGACATCTTCAATAGCAGTCCCAACTCTCAACTTGATCCTCATGCTGCTTGTGTCCAGCTTTACTTGTCCTTAATTTTGGCTTCATCTGCCTATCTCATCATCCATTTGACCATTTGTCAAATGTTTAAAATGCAACACTTGCAGACTACACACGCATATTATGGATAACTTTCGTAAACTGATAAAATATGTTATTTGATGTGCATTCAAAGGTCCTTACAATGAGCTACAAGTTGAATATTGCAATTCAAGTAGCCACAAATTTCGCGAAGTATGCTCGAGGACTTATGCTCTTGTAGTGCTCTCAAAAAATTGGTTGTTCTTACATTCAACGATTTTGGGACGCTCGAGAAGCGGTCGTTTGCATAATGATGTGTTACAGTTATCTTACCCTAGCTTGACGCAGGTCGTCGCGCGCGCGGCACAGCTTGTCTTTGACTGCTTGAGCGCTGCAAAGTGTAGCACACGAGTGTTACTGTACATTCAAAGTATCATTCTGATAGAGCGGAAGATGGCATACATTTGTGAGACTGGGAGTAGTGCCCTATTTTTAGGGATTTTTTTGAATCACTGTAGAACCTTTCCCTGTGCTCACGTCTATATGCCATTTCCCTATTCCCGCTGTTTTAGAAGTCAGCATGCTCGATTACCGTTCTGTGCCAATTCCCAGTCCCGTAGCTCAAACTTCGCAAAAAATCGGTAAAATTGATAAAAGCAATGGATAATTCTAAAAACTAATGTTGTGTTCGTAATCAGCATGCTCGATTACCCCCCTGTGCCAACTTGCAAAAAATCGATGAAATCGATACAACTAATTTATAATTATGAGGACTAATATCGTTTCGTAATCAGCATGCTCAAGGCCCTCTATGCCAAGTCCCAGTCCCGTGGCTCCTTTGCAAAGAATCGATAAAATCGAAAAAAAGTAACGAATAATTCCAAAAACTGATATTGTATTCGTAATCAGCATGCTCGACAACCCCGCTATGCCAACACTCGGCCCCACAGGTCAAACCTTACAAAAAATAGAGAAGATCGAAAAAAGTAACGGATAATTCCAAAAACCAATATTGTAAATGTAATCAGCATGCTCGATTACTCCCCTGTGCCAACTCCCAGCCCCAAAGGTCAAACTTTGCAAAAAATCGATAGAAATCGATAAAATCGATATCGATCGATGGCAAAAAGTAGCCTATGACACCCGCCCTTCACCGAAGTGTATGTGTGCCAAGTTTGATCCGGATCTGTTCAGAAATGGAATTTTCTATTTGGAACATACGTACGCACAAACAGACATTCAGCTTTATAAATATGATTTCAATAAATTCATTCCGATGAACATGGCTAGCAGTTCGAGCTTTTTTAAAGGTTGTCCCAATGGGAGTCACCTTCGATTTCGCACAATATAGTCTTGTTTAGAGCTCTCCATCTAGTGTACCAATTGTGACGTAAGCAACGCAAACATAGACTCTTTTCGAGCTATCGACAAACATCGAAAGTGTGCAAATCACGCATCTTTCTTGCTGCGTTACGCGTTGAGGTAGTTAAGTGGAAAAGTGGATCATGTTTTTCTTGATTGCATCCCAGATGTCGCAGACTTCTTTTAACAGCTTGCACAAAAAAAAACTGGCAAGGAACTGATCGTTCCTGACATAGTAAACAAAGGTGTGAGTAATCCTAAAGAGTCGAAATGGCTGAGAACGTATCGTTTGGTCATTCTTGTAGACGATTTTAAGGCGTATGCGTGACCTAATCGGTCGCTGTCGCTGTAACAGTCCAAACACAAAGCTTAAAGACAGCGTCCGGGCAAGATTTCGGATGAAATTTCTTTGCTTACCTGGGCTTATCCTTCCCGCTAATTCCGAAAATGCAGCTCGAAGAGCACGAAAACGCCGAAAACGGGCTTTTTCAGAAGCTTTCAATTTGAATTTTGTCGTCTGCCGCCAAGATTAAGACGCAGAGTCTTTGTGGGACCCTACTTCTTGACTGTGTGCGGTATGCGCACTCTGGCTTATCGAACTGACTCGTTCCCGGTCGCCGAGGCGCTCTGGTAGCCATCTGAAGCGGTTTTCTCGCTTCAGAAGCAAATGGTGCATTGCCAATTGGGCAAAAGCCTTACCAGGCCGGGCGCCCCTGTACTCTACATTTTCGTTTTTGCCCGGACGCTGCCTTTAATGTTCATCGAAGCTATCGCGATCATGCGTTGGGACCTTGTAGAGTTGTGCATGTTGTTAGTTAGTCTCAAAGATTCATTCCAACTTTTCTAAACGCTTCCTTGAATTTAGGATGCTTCTTAGGGAGTTCTTCGTTTTTTCCCCCTTCAAGTATGACGTTGTCGAAATACAGCGTATCCATTATCTCCCGAGACGTTTCGCTTGTAATTGACTCAAGATTCTGAGTAGCGCTTATTGATAGTGTTGTTAGTCCAATGATTCCGACCGGTCTTTATGTGGAAGGTATGAGTAGACGGTTTCGAAGACAACCTTGCAGAATACTCCAAATTTCCTCTTCCCTCTCGTTTGACCTCTTTACATGGCACACTGTGCTAATGATAAACAATAAACATAATTTTTGTTTGCTTAATCCAACAAAAATTAATTTGTTCAACGATGTTGATTTTGAAAAGAGTTAACATTCTAAGGCTTGTTTCTCTCAAGAATCCAGGATGGAGACGCCAAAGGTGAACTGTGTGTGCAATGACACAAATGATCACATGAAATGAAGCGACTGTATCTAGTACAGAGAAAACTACAAGAAGTTGGAAATTTATCAAGTATGAGGTCGATGGCAAAACTCTGTCAATTTTTCGAACACATCCGCAAATGGTGTAAAGCAAAACAAGTACGAGGTGTCCCAGAAAGCTGCCCACTGATTGATCGTCAATAATTCCGAAGTTTTAAATACTGTCTCCACATAGCTAAACAGTAAGAAGCGAGTTACCGATCACTTTCCATTCTGTAAGACTACGGTGGAACCTGCAGCATATTTGTAGCCACTGCTATGAGAGAGGCCTTTCGAAAAAAATTCAAAAAAGTAACAGAATTTTGATGCATGCTGCTTTCGCTACATAACTATCAGCGCGTTCGTAGCATTTCAAATGACGTATTAAATTGACGAATATCAGAAATCGGTTGCTACGGTTTATCTGGCATAACCAAATAAAGTTTCACGATGAAGTGCGAGTTTCGTTATTGAAATGAGCGATCTGATTAACGTAGTGTAAGAGTTTTCAGCTCCTTTAGTCTTTTCCTAGGAGGTGAAATATGATCCTTAACGACACAAAAGTCTACCGTAAATCTACAGTAATGAAGAGACAACGGCAGTTCGTTCCACAACAAAATGGTGCCTATTGCCCCTCGAAAGAGTTTATAATAAGAGATTACTAACAATCAAACAGTTTGGGATACCCTAATTTTGTGCCGTTTTTCAGACCTGTCCTAGAATCGTTCAAAATAAAGAAGGCAATGCTTCAAAAATGTACATTTCAGAATTTCTTGCACTTCCTAGATATCGTATTCCAATTCCTTCAACGTTTGCTCAGTGATTATCAGGATCCTCAACCCATGATTACTACGTATTTCAGTTGTTTTTTAAGATTTTGCTTTCACTGTTGGAAGAGCTCACATCACTCTTGGACAGAGTAAGCAAGAAAACAAACTTTTCAAAATCTCTAAAATAATTTTTTTGCTATCAAATACCATGTTTGATGTTTCCAAACCTCATAAAACATCAAAGAGCGAACAACTATGATGTCAATCGATGCAGACTATTTTCTTTTCGGTAAAAGCTTTTTCTCCCCAATTAATGAGGATTTCAAAGATCTATCTTAAATCTAGATCCCAAAGCACCCCAAGCTGTACCCGAAAAATAGAAATACAGTATTTCGAGGCGGTAAACGCTTTGCTCTGCAAAATTAGTGTTCAGTCTTTCAAATTGTTCGAGCGTTTGTGTGCTTTACAACAAAAAGTGGGGTCTCAGAAGAGTTGTTCCAAAAATCAGTCAGCGATGCCCAGAAGGTTTCTTTCTTACTCTATCCATTATCGGAGCTCAAAAGAAGTCTGCAATGAAATTTTCTGGAGATAATTGAAGTTAGGGTAGGTAGAAACCGTAGGTTGGAGATTCTGGCGGTTATGTGAGTGACCATCAAAGGAACACGGAACAAAGACATCACAAGTAGGAAGAGGAAGTGCAGTCGGGGAAGCCGCCGAACCGTGGCGTCTTTGAGTAGCGAAGTTAGCTACGTTTGATGGGAGATGGGAACGTCTTGTCTTGGTTACTCTTCAGAGGTGACTGGATCTATTAAAACATATTCATCCATTAAAAACGTTGTTTGATCTATACCTTATTTGTCAAACCTTCGAATATTCGATTTCATTAATTCAAATATTTGCTGACAGTTATCGGATTAGTGACCATTGAACATTCGATTTCCATACGAAACCTCAGCTGTTTTAATATTTAAATTTTCAAAATACTGGCATTCGAATGGTTTATTCAAACGAATACCCAATGGATTCGGTCCAAAGTAAAATTTAAAGGTTTTTGGTCCAAGTCGATATACTGCAATGAAGAACCGGAGATTGCAAATGATGTTACGTCAGAAATCTGTGACTTTGAGTACACAACAAATCGTGACGCTATAACCTATGCGGGAGTTGTCAAAGAAAGAATTGGTGTGCTAACTTAGAATACTAGAGAAGAAGAAAGTTGCGCCTTGAGATAGGTTGCTAGCAGTAATAATCGATAATGCCTCATCCCTGCATTAAGCAGGTGAAAGAGCTTTTTGCACACTGAATGCATTCGATCCTAGACTTCCGTTCAGGGTACTCCCCCATAAGAAAGCTTTTATCTTTTGTTTTAATTTTCACCGCAGTTGGTCATGCACTGCCTTCTCTTGAAGTAGGCACCGGGATAACATCCAGCAGAGCAAAGCAATCTTCTCCAAAATGGCAGTTAGGAATTGACACTAGCGATACACCTCTTTGAGATCAGAATCCAAAAGCTGGTTCAAAGGTTGAAAAAATAATTATATCTTTGTCCATGCAATCCTAGGGAGTTCTCACTCGCTCACGCGTACTTTATCAAATTATAAATAAACATATAGATTCTTTTCAATTGGGCATGCAGAACTTTTTAGGTTTTGGTCGCGAATTCGAGGTGGATCAAAATTGGTGCAAAAGTATGAGTGACATTTTGTGAAGCCCTTAGCCCTGCGAGTGATATTTTGAAGCCAATCCAAAAAAAGAATTCGGTAAATGTATGATTTGATGGTGAAACTATTTAAATGAAAAGGCTTAGCGGAAAGTCTGATGACCTATCCGAATCCAGTCCAAAATTCCGATAAAGGTACCGAAAGAAATAGACGACAAGCAAGTGTAAATAAGAACGAAAAGATGCAGTAAAAAAAATTAGTGCCTGCACACAAATACTACTTTTGCAGGGCCGCATCATCAAACTCCACATTAAACTTCTTTCATTGCTGTGGACGGACCTCCAGTAAGAACAAGTATGAGTGCGATAAAAGAACTCCTTTTGAGGACGTAAGGGCCGGGCATACTTCACGCGATTTGGCAGTATTCCAACTGTCCATAACTCATTGTAAGCACATTTTGAATGTAGAGAAGATAGGGCATTTTATCAACCCACTCAAGTATACACACTATGCATGTGCAATTCGCTAGTGTTGGATCTGAAGACTTCTGGCGAATTGCCAAATCGCATCGCGACTGAAATCGCGTGAACTATGCCCGGCCCCTTAACGTTACCGACAACTACCATCTTTTTCTTAGCGTATTTCAATGTTCGAATACTAGGAGCGAGACCCAGGGCTCGGCACGAGGTGGCTAGATGAAAATGGAAAAAACGAAGTCGCCCTTGACTTTTGGGAATTTTTACGAAGTCCCCTTTGACCCTGAACCAAATTTCTTCTAAAAACCTGAAATTCCCGAAAAACCCCCAAAAAACGAAACGTCGACTAAAAAAAAAAGGTCGCCGTCGTCAATTTTCCGTCTCTTTTCGGCCACAAAAACAAAACCCCCTTTGCTTTTCGTCCCAAAAACGATATCCAGCTTGCTTGTAAGCCACTTGTGCCGAGCCCTGGCGAGACCTCCTTTGGCAGGAGTTCTGATGAGGGATTGGAAAACACACTATGACAACGTCAGAAATTTAGAAGGCCTATGTTTCTTCAAGCGACACCGCCATTGAGAGATACCAAGCGTTACGATGGCAATAGCCTGCTTATGTAGCATAGCAGGACGGAAATAAGAGGTAGCCTTCCTGGAAAACAACAAAAATTTGTTTTGCGATGATGCAGTGTTGGGCCCACCTCACAGCTAAGAAGAATAAAGAGGCCGTCTACCCATTACCGAAGTGATCTGCGTTTTTTACGCATGTGTTAAAGTTCGACCAAATGCCACGTTCACCTATAGAGCACTTTTACGAAGAGAAGAAGTCGCGGGAACTTCAGGATCTATACAACATATATTGTTAAACCGACGATGAACTACCGCCGCAACGAATGGGTGAAACTTAGTATGACATTCACCAGTGTAGCATGGAGAGGGTCAAAGATCGCCGCAATAGCTTCATTAAGAAGAGAAATGAAGCAGCTGGACGCTTTCAAAAATGATTGACCTCATGGACACAGCAATGGACTCTGCCCATGTCTCGAAAGCAAACATGGCGACGGGAATTTTACAAGCGCACAGGAAATTCTTTTATGGTGATGATACGAGTAAGAGAGATCGAGAGGTCAGGATATTTGTGGATATTTGTGGTGTAATTTGATTTTCTTGCCATGATGATCGATTACGTTGAGAACTACATGCCACTGAATTAAACGACAGACATGAAAAGGCACAAAAAAGGCAGAGGCCACAAAGTAAATCACTATCAATGTAAATAACACTTGTATGAATATGGATTTTGCGGACCACAAGCGCAAGGATCAACCGGACAAGAACATCTCAGGGATTCGCGCCGTGCGGGCGGTCCTCATTAAAGCTCCTCCGCCTGAGCGCACTGCATAGTTTTTGATGTACCGTGCGTGCGGTCAACAATAAAAATGCCGTGCAAGCGGAAGACAGTCTACCCGTTCGATCGGCACGCAATAAAATCGACCGTGCAAGCGGCAGGCAATGCGTCCGCACGATCGGCCAGCAATCACTTGATCGTACAAGCGGCAGGCAATCTCGCCGCGCAATCGGTACGCAATAAAATCGACCGTGCAAGCGGCAGGCAATGTGTCCGTTCGATCGGGCGGCAAACATATGCCCGTGCAAGCGGCCAACAGTGACCTCTACCTTCGGCTCATTATTTTCACACACTATGAGCGTAAACGGTACCTGCATGAGGTACGACGCAGCGTTTAGGCTGGCTAAGCGTCGACTATCGTGTTATCAACATTTCCCTTCACCGCAAAGCTGGAATGAACCTGTGTGAGGCTACAGTTATCAAGAGTGATGGTGTGGCTTCTCCATGGAAAGTTTGGGTAGTGCGGCAGGCACTGGTCCGTGTTCCCAGGATTTGAAAATGCTTAACATACCTAAGAAAAATGATTAAAATACCCCATATAAACCTACTCCAGCAGCAAGCGAGCGGCCGACCTTCCCCGCGCAAGCGGCGAGCATTAGAAACCGTGCGGGCGCCCCACGTTAACCGTGCTAACGGCCCTTGACGACCGTACAATCGCACACACCAACGAGCGATTGTAAGTTCGTCGCTGGCCGCCCGCACGGTGCGAGTCCCTGAGATGGGCAGGGACCACGCGGATACGGACCCAAAGACGCAGACCTTATAAGTGTCGGTGTTGCTTGGAAGAGAGGGGGGATGTAGCTACCGGTAGTAGGTTTTACAGACCTGGGTTACGCAGTTGCCAGTGCTGGGATTGTTGTTTTGTTCATTTTTTCGATTGACTTCTATTGTCCTGTCAGTTTACTAATTTCTACCGTGTTGTATTTTTTCACATTTGCATAACGAGCTTTTAGTGGTTTATCAGGTTTTTCAATTTTTACGTCGTCCGCTGATTCAGCGGAGTCCGCGAAGGTTCAGACCCATTGCTGAAACCTACACAAGAGTTCTTTCCAAGAAATTTGAAAAAAATTAGAGCTAGTTCGGCGTGGTGGGAGTAAAGTAGACATGGTGACCCTCGACCGTCTTGCTATAAGCTTTTTTATTTACAAAAAAAAGTAATTTGGAGAAATGCACAGATGAAGACTGACCACTGCTGGAAGGTTTGAGATAGCCGTCCTTTTCATTGCCAGTCCAGAATTCGAAGTACTGAGTATGCAGAAACACTAAATTTACTAATTTACAATAGTGAATGTATGTAATACCTCTTCCTTAAGTTTTGAAACACATATAGATAGTTTTGTTGTGAAGGAAAGCCCTACTAAGCATAAATTTGAAATTTGGGTGTTGAAACTTACCACTTATCCATTTATGTTCTGCTTGATTCTGTATCGTAAACAGCGTGTAATTCTCACCACACGCTTCAGGCGAAAATTCCGTGCGATTTTTTACCACGATGCAGTAGTCATACAATGATATTTCTTGAATCTTGCACTGGTGCGTTTTCTCTAAAAAATTTCTGTTTCACGAATACCTTCTGGAGCAAACTACGCGGATATCAAACGTACGGAAATTACAGTTAACTTTACACATATTTACAAGTCCTATAAACATAGTACATCTTTCAGCATTATAAAATTAGCTAGCATATCCAAGTTTGACCGGGCCCGTAAACACACTTATTTTTGTACAACATTTCCTTGTCCTTGTCCCACCTCTACATGCCAGCCCTGCCCCCACGTTTTCGTAATCAGCATGCTACTGAACCCTCTTTACGGATTTTCAGCTCCTCAGGCCAAACTTTGCAAAAAATGAATAGAACGATAATGGTAATCAATAATTCCAAAAACTAATATTGCATTAACAATCAGTGTGCTCATTCACTCTCTCTCTCGCCCCGATCCCTAGTCCTTTGTTTGCAAAAACCGACAAATCTATACCAATCTATAATGAAAATTCTAAACCTTGCCCTTTATTGGAGTGTATGTGTGCAAAGTTTGGCCTGAATTGGTTCAAAATAAGAAATTTAGTCGGCACATGCGTACAGACAGACAGACATGCACGATATCCAGCTCTATATATAAGGCTAACGACCAGTACGGTAGTTGCAAGCGGGCTAGGGTTATAATGAGTGCTATTGAACCTATACCAGTTTCGAGTTTAAAGGCAGTGGCTCGGCAAAATCGAACATCTCGATTATATACAACTAGCTGGCTTACCCGGCTCCGCCGTATGTTCCGTATAGAAAATTCCATTTCTTAACCGATCCGGACCAAACTTGGCACACATACCCTTCGGGCCCCGGCGGGTGTCACAGTCCACTTTTCGTTACCGATCAATGAGCGAGCAACATGTATGCGAGCATGCTGATCCCCCCCCCCCCCCCCACGGGGGTGATCAGCATGCTCGATTACCCCCCTGTGCCAACTCCCAGCCCCGTAGCTCAAATTTTGCAAAAAATTGATAAAACCGGTATCGATCGATGACGAAAAGTAGCCTATGACACCCGCCGGGGCCCGTAGTGTATGTGTGCCAAGTTTGGTCCGGATCGGTTCAGAAATGGAATTTTTTCGGAACATACGTACACACAGACATACAGACATACAGACATACAGCCAAACAGACATTCGGCTTTATATATAAGATGTTGCTTGCACCCCAGACACGACAATGGAGCAGGTCCGAGCGCACAGCATGCAACCCCTGCCTAGAAAATTGCCCTTAAACCCGTACGTGCAAGCCATTCTTACACGCACTTGGACGAGCTCGTGATATCCCTCACGCCAGGCGGCATGCTAAAGACATGAGGTTCCCACAACGACTCTGCGTCTCTAACCATGCGGGGAAGCGTTCCACTCGTCCAAATTCAAAATGAGGAGGCTCGAAAAATGCTGGTTCTCGCCGTTTTCGCGCTCTAAAAAGTGGATTTTCGGAATCAGCGCGTTGAATTACCCCAGGCAAGCGAACACAAAAGTCGAGGATTTGCCGAGCCACTGCCTTTAATCTCCGCTTCATCACCTTACGCGTTGCGGTGCCATTGCTCAAAATTGACAGAGGTATTCTGAAATTTTCCCGGAAAATGGATGACACTTTCGTAATTTGCTGCTTGTTGCTGTTTGCCAAACGCTGTAAATCTCCCTCTATGCTTGCCTACAAGCTTACATTTTCAAGAGAAAATGCAAATTTTTTGCAGAAAATTACTGCTCTCAAAAGCAAGTTTGGATTTCCCGGGAAAATGATGGTGCTATAGCAATTTTTGCACTAGGTCATTTGCTAATATAATTGTGACTGGGTTGACATAGCACTGCTTTTTGTTTGGAAAGATGTGTGCTTGGAACATATGCGCTCTTAAATACATAACAAAATGAAATCGGAGGATTGCACTTGTGAATGATGCGAATAGCGGAAAACTGTTGAAAGAGTTCAGCTGAAGCTTCAACAAGCTTATAATCGCACTTGTGCATTGTAGCATACATCAAGTCAAAGAAACTTTTGTCATGATTAGCGTTCGCATTTTTTGACACATGGCATACGCACATTTCAAGACAGTTGTTGACTTTTGATGACGTCAAACTCTTGTCGCGCTTTTGGCCTCTGTGCTCTCTTGTCGTTTTTATCAGGCCCTCATTTCAAAATTTGTGCATATTTGTGCAACTGTTTCCAGCTAAAACAGCTCTAGCTAGGTCATTTTAGCCGTTTTTCGTTCCGAGTTTATGTCAGTGGGAAGGATTATGGCAGAACGGACTGAACTAACCCATCATAAGAAGTTCGGATGTCACTAAGTTGCGTAACTCGTGCAAAGCAAAAATTCCAGGTTTCAGGTTTGGTGCAAGGCATTAAGCCAGTAAATACGATGCTTCTTTGAGCTAACACAGCTCTTTTTCAAAACTGATTTACAGTCTATGAACAAATCATCGGCTGGCTTTGCCTCACATCGCCATGACTTTGTTTAGAATGAGCGAATTCTTGATTCAAGAGCACCATTTAACTCAGCTCGACGAAGCGCATTTGACATAACGGTGGCACAGTCTGTCGTGGTACGGTAGCTAGTAGTCGGTTTTCACGAACATTTCTCCCGGTTTTTGCTTCCTGGGAAAGGATACTTGGTGATCGTGGTTTCTTGCAATATAGCATATGTCATGACTCGCCTTGGAAGGCTGATCTCAAAACTGTGTTCGTTATCTGCGGAATGACTATTTGGAAAGCTGATGTACTAGTATTTCTTATGCTGCAGAGGTTGGTGCGGTGGAATATTGACCTAACGTTTCGAACAACTCGTCTTCGTCGGAGGTCTTCCGTTCCACCAAAGAGTCAGTAGTCCGCACTAGATTAGTGTGACGGATATCACATATTATATATGTGATGTTTGTATGTTGTTTATACGTCATATTTGGAAAGTCTTTATTTCATGTGACTGCTCAAGAGTGTGGGCAATGTTGTTATATGCTAAAGGCTGCGTTCATACTGATCCGGAAGTTCGGAACCAGTTCCAGCACACCGCTCAAATCAGCATTGTGCTGGAACTGTTCCCGAACTTCGGATCAGTAGGAACACAGCCAAAGGTGCGAAATGGTTGATGGTCAGGATGTCGATTACTGTACAGTAAATGCCGGTTTGATCTTTATCGGTGCGACTACTTTTCCGTTCGTATTGACAAGATCTATTTTTCTTCGGAAGAGCGTTCCGCGAATGAGGATCACATGTTTCGAGATCAGAGCTCTAAGGCAAGCATTTTTGATATATAGGATAGAAATAAAATAGAAATTAGAAAGAAAAGAAAGGATTTTAGAAATCACCAGTTATCTTTAAAGGCAGTGGCTCGGTAAAATCGAACATCTCGAAAATTTTTACGGAAGGCTGCCCAAACACGACAATGGAGCAGTTCCGAGCGCACAGCATGCAACGCCTGCCTAGAAAATTGCCTCTGAACCCGTGCGCGTAAGCAATTTTTACATGAGCTCGGAAGAGCTTGCGATCCCTCTCCTACCGTTGGGAGGCGTGCAAGTGGTACCCTGGCAGCCGACTGCTTCCGCAGCCAGCCGCCAGAGCTGCCGGCAAAGTCGCTGCGGATGGTACAGTAATTACGCTTGTCGTCTATAACTCTTGCCGAGAGGTTTTTTCGCACCTAGTCGCTCTGAGGTGCGAAGTCAGCTTCAGGGAAGCGTGATATCCTCGATATCTATATCATTTTGAACAGCAAAAACTTCATGTTTTTTGAGATGCAAATAAACAAAGGTAATTAGAGGAGGGGTTTTTTTTAAAAGAAAGTGATCACAAAAACAATCACTTTAAAGATCAAAGGAAGCAGAAGCTGAAAAAATTAGGAATTCTCAAACTTCTAGAGATTTCTGCTCGCTTTTACGTCGAAGAATGGACGAGAACAATCCCACACAAATGTCATGGATATAGCGGTAAGAAAACACATAATCTACATCATTTTGAACAGCAGAGAAAAGTCATATTTCATTGAGAACAGTCGGACAGTCGAATACAAAACTACACCGGAAAATTTCCAACAATTCACACGCAATTACAAAAATGAATAAATAGGAACTCAAACGTTTTTTCCGTTACAAATATTGAAATCAAAGTACAATAAACATCAATTGACGCTGTAGTTTTAAGGATTTTCCAATGAAAAATTCTTGAAAATCAAATTCTTTTTTCCATGAACACTTCAGAATTCGAAATGCGGTCTTGTTGAAGGGTCATTAGAGGTGGTTCTTTGATTTTAAACTTTCATTATTTGCAATGAGTTCTGGATTTTGAATTTCTTTCATTACTACTTTTCTATTTTCTCAAAATACCTGGAGAAGTGAACTGTGTAAATCAAAATAGTACATGCTTCTTGGTAATATTCCCTTTCATACCAGCAGATGTGGCATATTTTTATCTTTTATCATTGACCTACTTAACTTGATTGACCTAATTGGCCTTATTTAGCTCGCTTAACACCACTATGTATGAAATAATCATTTTGACAGAAGTTTCTCACCTTTATATCCATGGCATTTTCCTGTGATTGTCCCCTTCCGTTCTTCGACGTAAAAGCGAGAAAAAAAATCTAGGAATTTCAAAATCTTCTGAACTTTTCAGCTTCTGCTACCTTTGAGTTTTTGAAGTGATGTGAATTTGTCATCATATTCCTTTAAAAAGTCTCCCCCCTATTTACCTTTGTTTATTTGCATGTTCCTCAAAAAACATGAATTTTCTGGCGTTTAAAATAATAATATAATAATAATATAGATATCGAGAACATCAGGCTTTTCCGAGGCTAATTTTGCACCTCAGAGCGACGAGGCGCGAGAAAAGCTTTCGGCAAGAGTTCTCGACGACGAGCGTAGTTACAGTACCATCTGCAACGGCTTTGCTGGCAGCTCTAGCGGCTGGCTGCGGCAGCAGTCGGCTGCCTGGTTACCACTTGCTACGCACCCCCTACCGTGAGAGGCGGCATGCCGAAATGTTAAAAACATGAGGGTCCCACAACGACTCTGCGTCTCTAACCATG